TATGTTCCTCCACCTTAGGTCCGCTTCCACTCTGCCATGCCCTACTTTCCCCCCATTCCAATCTCTCTAAGCCTATTTATTTGTATCAGATACCAGATACCTGATATGATATAAGAAGGTATCTGATAAGTTCTTTCCTTTGGTTAAGGATAGCCCTATCCTGAGGTTTACTGTTCAAGAGCACTCCACCTGGGAAGGTAAACACACTAGGTGGCTAACATTTCAGTGTGAATGAATTGGTCCAATACTGGAGAGGCCTCAGAGTTGAACATGGGGATGTGTGGGAGGGGTGGTGCTGAGAAGGGAAGGAATGGTAATAGAGGTTCCACATCCTACTCTTCCACTAACAGAGTTACTAAAAGGTTAACTGAAAAAATCTTTTCTTCTTTCCGAGTCTCAGTTTTCCATCTGTAAAATGAAGACATTTTAGTTTTATTCCAGCTTTGACATCCATGAAGTTGTTGTTTGGACTCACTCTAACTAAATGTAGGGTGGGTAGGGGGAGGAAGTAAGGAGAGATTGAAGACTAAATATTAATTACTCTTTCCATTTAGGAAGTTTGGGTGGACTTTACCCTTAGGGTATTTTCCTTGGGAGGTAAAAGTGGAGAGAGGAATGGTTTATTCCTCACCACCACCACCAACCCCCCCCCCCCCCATGAATCCATCATCTCAGTTGAGGGAGTGGGAAGGAGAAAGATACCTGGGACACAGGTCGTTGGTTATGTTTGTCTCTAGTTGGAACTGAGAAAATATACAGGACACATTCATGGAGCAAGGTGTGTACCTTTGCTTATTAGTGGCTAAAGTGTGTGTCCAGAGACCAGTCAAACTCAGAATATCCATAATTTACACAGGGTACTTAACCATAAACTGAATAGTAGTGCTAGTTTTAAAATGTTACTCACATTATTTCTAGACTTTTAGGTCCCCAATATAATCCATCAACAAACTTTAGTCCTCCTGTGTGTCTCTCTCTGGATTTGTGCCAGCAGCAGCAATACAGTCCCCCAGGGGTCTCATACTCTTGGCAGCTACCACTATATGCAGAGATTCTGGGTAAGACAGATAAAGAACAAAAGGAAAATAATTTACCCAGCAGTCTCTGGAAAATTTTTTTTTAGTTGTGCTGACCCATTTAATAAATGAGGATTCCTTTGGAATAGAAGCATTGCACTCTGTGGGAATAGTGTAATCCTTCAGACATCATTTCTCAGCACACTAATTGAAGACTCTTGGGGTTCTCCTAGTATACACCTGAAGACATTTTCCTATGAGGTCAGGATTGGAGATAATGGGGTACTGAAGGCCCCCCAGGGTCTGCCTCTTTAACACATGAACTTTCTTCTGAGTGGTGATCAGCAGGCAGAAGCAATCAAACAGTCACTTGTCCCACTCACTGACCTAATCTGGGGTGGAGGCATTAGTGACTGTCAGACCACAAAGCCCAATGTGGAAGCAGAGTCTTCTTGCATCTGCATGATGCCTTGGATTCCCAAGAGCCCCTGGTGGCTCAGCCAGGACTACTAGTATGACATGGCAGTGAAACTACCTGGGGAGCTCTCAGGACTTTACTAGAGGGAATAGGCTGCTCTGAATGTCAGCAATTGCCTTGACTCCCCTAATTGATATCCTGAGGTAAATGACTAAATGTGTTACCCAGAAATTGGTTACAGAATCACAGAATGACATAGGAAATTTCAGATGAAGAAATTGAGGCCCATATGGGAAAAAATTATTTCAGCACATCCAAGTTCAACAGTAAATAATACACTGTTTTTGACTTTGTCTTATATAATGTCACTTCTCCTTGGTAGGCTTATAGTTTAGGTAATGTGACATCAGTAATAGATATAATAATAATAACAATGATACATTAATAAAATAACTAAAACAAAAATAAAATTAACCTTCAATAAGATGTGGATAAAAAACCTCAGGCTAGTAGTTAAGCAGCTGAAACCTGAAAAATTGAAGGAGGACAATCTCTAAATCACTTAAAACAGCAGCCAATAGCCCTTTAAGATTAAGGCCAGGGTGGGTACCACAGGTAAGGAAAAAGAGGAAGTAGGAGGAGGGAAGTTCTTAATTAAGATCCTGAAGCTGGAGTGGGAGGGGTTGTGACCTAACCCAATATCATCCTTGAGGGTCTCCTTACCTATCACAGCTTTAAACAAGAGTCATCTCAGCCCCCCCTTCTGGGGTAGAGGAACAAAAAAGCAAAAGATGGAGGCCAAGTTGGGGTTTATGGCCTTTTCTGGGGGAAAATCCTTCCCGGAAAGCTTCTTCAATGGCCATACTGTTTTCTTGGGGTCTCCATCCCTAAGTCCCTGGGGCCTACATTGCTTGCTGAATTTCTCTTCTTTCCTAGGAAACCACATTTTTTCTGGGTACTGATCCTTTCTTGAAGTTTCTTTCTTTCCCAAAACCCTAGTACTTCAAATTTTTATGAGGTACCCCTTCTTACACTGAGTCTCTTAAGCTTTATGTCTTTTATGTGTCTCACCCCCTCAATTTTTTTTCAATACCTTTCACCAATCTCTAGTGCTGTAACCATTTTATGAAGTCCTATAACTATCTTAGAGTCATAGTCCTCACATCGCTGGGGTTCATGCTCTCCTATGGAGCTCCATTCTCAAATCACTGGGGTTTCAACTCGTTGGCAATTCTATCTCTCTCCTAGGGTCTCATCCCTGTAGTCCTGGGACTCTCTTGCTTTCAGGCAGTTTTGTTTCTTGCCTACAAATTCCTTACATTTCTGTGACTTTACCCCTTCTCTGCAGTCATTTCTTCAACTTACTTGCCCCGAACTATAGGAGTTGCCCTTTTTTGTGCCCCACCAATTTTGCAGGGCACCTTTTTTCTGGGGTTCTATATCCCTTCACTCCATATCTAGGACCACCTTTTTTGGGAGTCTAAATTCTCTCTGGAGCTCTCCTTCCTTTGTCCTTAAGTCAGTCAATATGTATGTATATATCTGCCAGCCCATCTCTCTCCCTCTCTCTTTCTCTGCATGTGTGTGTATATGTGTATAATATCAATATATATATATCAATATATATATATCTATATCTATATACATATATATATTAGATATAAGTAATTTAGATATCATTCAGATATAACACTCACCAATTTAAGGTATATACTTCATTTTTTTGTATAATCACAACATTGTAACCATCTCTATAATAATCACTTGTAGAACATTCTCATCATCCCAGAAATAAACATAATATTTATTGGCAGTCATCCTCCTCTTTTTTATAGAGTTATAACTTTCTCTTTGAACTTTTTCTCTATGCTCCTTGTGGTTTCACTTTTCTTCTGGGGTCTTCTCTCTCTCCTGGGACTCTTATCCTTACATCTAGGGAGCTGTGCTCCCTTTTGTTTCTCGGGGCCTCACCCCATCCTGGGGCTATACCACTTTTCTTGTGTCTCCTCTCACATTTCTGAAATTCCACTCCTTTCTTCAGTTTTTTCTTCTGGAGTCCCTACCCCAAATCCCCAAACCTACATCCTTTTTCTCATGTCCCTCTAATATACGGGCCACTCTTTTGAAATATTCTGTCTCACTCCTAGATTTTCTCCCACTTTTAGATTTAAAATCACATCCCTATATATATTCTAATTTTATCTTGGCTCCTACTCCTTTATCTCTCCTTGGGGCTTTACCTATTCTGTAGTCTTATCTCTTCTGGGGACACCTACACTTACATCTCTTGGCTTCTCTTTTTTTCTGTGTTCTCCTCCCTAAATCCCTGGCACAGTACCCTTCTAGTATCCTTCTACAGTTTTTCTCTTTGTTAGGAAACCTTCTCTCCCTCCTCTTGATTCAATCTCTTTTCTGCAGTTGTTTCTTAGAGAACCCTCCCTGCATCACTGGGACCCCACTTTTTTTTGTAGTCCCATAGTTCTCCTGTGATCTCCTCCAGACATCCTTGGGGCTCTGTCACTTTTATGCAATATTTTCTTTCTTCTGGGTTTATGGGGATTCTTGCTCTTGGAATTTGTTGTCGTCTATGTCTCTGTGGCACCATCTCCCCCCCTCCAAGTATCTTCTCTAAATCCCTGAGGTTTCATCCCCTTTTTCCCCCTTCGGTCCAATTTTTCTCCTGGGGATTCCCTGTTCAAATGCCTAGGGCTCTTCCTCTTTCTCGGGTTTTTCCTTCCTGCTGACATCTTCTCCTTCAGGCTCTTTTTCTCCTTGGAATTTTTTAGTCACCTGACTTTCTCCTCTCACTTTTAGGCTCCTCTTTTCTTCTGGACCTTTCCTATCCACCCCACTTGTCTTCTAAGGGCCTGCCCGTTAGGTCCCTAAAGTAGCTAATTCATCATGATTTGTACTTATGGGGTCAAGAATCCGACCCCGTCCCCCACACCCAGAAAACATGTTAGATTTCTATCATTCAAAAGTTGAAGGGGAAGGAAGAAATAGAAGTAAAAGAGAGTGACTACTGTGTGTCAAGAGTTGTGCTGTGCTTTTTCACATTTATTACCTCCTGTGATCTTCACAACAGCGCTATGGGTGGATTTTTGTACCTTATTTAACAGATGAATAAACTGTGACTTAGTGGAGAAAAAGCTTCGGAAGCTGGGTGGAGCAAAGCAAAATCCCAGCCCTCTCTCAGTACTGGGTAGGGGTGGGAATTCATCATCCGCAGTCTTGGGAGGGGGCTCCCTTCTGCCCTTGCTGCATTTATCAGACTGCAGTGAACCCAGCCCTACAGAGCCACCTGGCACTCTATCCCCTCAGGATTGGAGTTCCCAGTGCTTACTCCCAGTGGGCCTGGTAAGAAGGAAGAGTTGAGGTCCTTACCTACAAGTTTGGTGGGAGCAGAGCACAGGGCATTGGCGGAGCTTCAAGCTACTGGAGGCGGAGTTGGCATTGGAGCGCTTCCTCTGTCAGCCTTGACATCCCACCACACCCCTGTGGAAAGCCTGGCCACCCTGTAGAGCTCAAGAGTCACCTGTTCCTTTCCTGCTACCCCAACTACTTACCTTGCTCTGCTGCTCCTTGCAAGTCCCAGGGCACCGAGACAGGCTGGATCAGATGCTTGGGTGGTAAGCAGAGAGACTTGTTCTTTATGGCCTTTGCCAGAGCGATGGGGGAAGAGTGGGAGGTGTGGGCCATGGATTTGCAATCTTGGCTTGTGAGAATCCAACTGTGCCAACTGTCACCTGCTGGTGGCAGTGGGGACTGCAGTGGAGCTGCTACAAAAATGAAGCTCTCAGTGCAATATACTGCCCCCTACCCCAGTGCCCTGGAAGGGGGTGAGTACCCAGAGGGCTGGGAAGTGAGACTGGCCTAGGAATATGGAAAGGGAGAGAGAGGAGGGTGCACAGGCATTGGGATTGGCCCTTCTGGTGCATGGGGTGCTGAGCAGCACAGTGGCTGGAGGGTTTCAAATATTCCTTTAGCCTGCCTGAAGTCCACCCAAATAGGCTTCTCTTTGCCTTCTAAATAAGGTCATGATTCATCAGGGGCTGTGTTAGACTGTACTAAGATGGATTGTATGGGGTTGGGATGGTGATAACCTCTGACCTTAAGATAGCCCTAGCGAAGAGCTACAGGAGAGCTGCCAAGTAGAGGAATGGGAATCTGGTGTAGCACCAACAGCGCAGACACAGGGATGGGGAAGATGCAGAAAAGGCCCTACAGAATAGAACTGCAATAAAAGGGTGTTATGGGGTATCCAGGAAAGGGAAGTTGGGATTGGAGCCACTGTAGAGAGAGAGGCAGGGGCTAGGGCACTCCAGAGAGGACAGACAAGGTCTGGAGATCCTGAGCAGAGAGGGGAGTCCAAGGCAAGAAAAGACTTCTAGCTGGGGAGTTCTGAAGGGAATGGGGAATGAAAGGATGGGGGCACTGAGAGACATGGGCATGGGTTGGTAAGTTTGGGGAGAATTTCTGGAAAATTCGCAATGACAAAATTTATATTCCAAGATCACGGGGAAGGGTAAAAAGCAACAGTTTAGGTTTAGAGTTTAGTCCCATTCTCATTCCCAATAAACATCACTGGATATTTCCAATCTTCAAGACTTTGCACTGAGTGCTATGGAGTATCTACAAATGGAAAAAGCACAGAAAGTCCCTATTCAGAAGGAGCCAGTGGGAATATCAACACACACACACACACACACACACACACACACACACACACACAGAGAGAGAGAGAGAGAGAGAGAAACATGTGCTAACAAGGTTGAGAAACTTCAGCTGAGGCAGTGAACTTTGGGATGAGAAAGCAAAAGCAAAGAATTTGGGATGTTACAGATCTATACTCTGCTAAATGCTGATGAGGCCTGGAAAAGATATGTAAGGGCCAGATGTTCCTTTGGGAAAAGCACAGACAGGGTGGGGATGAGGATATGTTTCTGGAGATGCTGAAACAAAAGTGGGTAGAGCTATCTAAAGGAAGAACTTGGCAGAAAGAGGACTGGAGCCACTTCTGACTGTCCCCCTGGGCGGAAAGGCAAGGCACAATGAGCTAGACTCATTGCTCAGATGGGGCCAGAAGTACCTGGCTGCTGAATGATAGGCCTGTTCTGGCAGACCCCTGGAGGCACTTCTTGGGTTCTCATCCTGTTGCCAGGAGACAAGCCACCATTTGGACAGTCCTCTGAGCCTGAATCTGTCCAAGATGACTGTGTCCTCTCTACACCCCCACTTCCTCCAAGAGGGCCTTGGGTTTCTGTCTGGTCTTGTTGAGCTTTATCCCCTGCCTTACTGATGAGGCCTCTCTGTTTTGACCACCCAGGCTGCGCAGCAGTCCTGGTGTTACCACCTCATATCATCATGTATTACCTTGTCTCTCTCTACAGTGCTTTCCCCCCTTCTTTACTAAGTCAACTATTTATTTTTTCAAGTTTTTATTTAAATTCCAGTTAGTTAACAGACTAGGTCAACTATTTAAACTTTAAGATCCTACTTAAGTGTCAACTCCTTTGTGAAGTCTCCCTTTCAAATATTTTCTCCCAACAACCACAACAGAAATATTACATCTATTCCTTTTTTCATGTCTCTACGGCATTTTCATTCATGCCTCCAATGTAACACTTGTTGGGGTTTAGTTTTGCATTGATTGTTCACCTGTATTCTTTAAATAGATGGTGAGCTTCTTAAGGACAAGATTGTTGTTATATCTTTGTTTCCATTACTAGTTCAGTGTATAGGACATCATAAGGACTCAGTAAGTAAGTGGGTGTTTGATACAGGATATATCAGAGGAGTGAGACAGGAGGCAGGAAGAATAATTATTACAATAATCCAGAAAAGTAGTAATGAGAGCTTTACCTTGGACAATGCAGATAAAAATGCAGACCCTGATGTCAGCTGTGCTACAGTGGATGAATTGATAGTCTGTGATTGATCTAATATAGGAGGGGCAAAAGAAGGGAAAAGTCTGAGATGATTCTTGGGGGTGGGATAATGGAGAGAGAGTCTATAAAAATGAGAAAATCAATGAAGTAGAGTCAAGAGTATGTGTTTATTTACTTAGAGAGAATAAGCAGGGGAGGGGCACAAAGAGAGGGAGAGAGAGAATCCCAAGCAGCCTCCACACTGTCAATGCAGAACCTACACAGGTTCATGAACCATGAGCCATGAGGTCATGAACTGACCTGAAATAATGATCTGGGCCAAAATCCAGAGTCAGATGCTTAACTGACTAATCCACCCAGGTGCCCTAAGAGTATGTTTTGAACATGTTGAATTTGAGATGCAGGTAGAAATTTGTGTTTGGAAGATAACATGGACCTGGACGCAGTGGGGAGCCTCCTCACTTAGATTAATTATTCAGAATAAGAATCCTGCAGATGATCCTGCCAAATTCTCTCTGTCCTTGGAAACACCCGTTGCAGAAGTAAAAGCTAATGAAATTTTGAGGGACTGTGGAGTAAGGTTTGTGACAAGCACGTGGAGGGCCGTGAGATATATTTGGAGCTACCAATGAATACCCACAATGAAGTTCTGTCTTTGGGGGAAGCAGACAGCAGTATATCCACTGAAGTGTGTCTGCACTAGCTTGGGATTCTTTTAGAAACTAGCTGGCTTAACAGATGCTGAATTGCAACCTGGACAGCACTTTCCTTTAGAGCACTTGTTCATTTTTCTTTTCTTCAATCAAAACTCATGTCCTGTGTCCTCAGGATAAGATCACACTGTTTTCCAGCTAATCCAATGGAAGTCTCTCCCACTTCTCATTTCCTTTCCATTTCCACTATCAGTTTCATAATATGTGCTCTTATTTCATGTAACCAATTTCAAGAGCTATCTATCTAATATTCCCTATATTTCTTCCAATTATTTCTGCAAATACCACCAACCATCTTCTCAATTCAGAAAATAAATATAATTTACTTGGTGCAGAGATTAGCAAAGAATAAGTGTGCAATAAATTTCAGCTATTCTTCTTCTTCTATGTGTCCAGAGAGAATGGTATAGTAGAAAGAACACTGAAATGGAAACCAGGATGGATCTGCCACTGTGTAACTTTGGCTTCAGTCTCTTCATTTGTAAAATGAAGTAATGATATCATGATCTGGCTACCCTACAGGTCTTTTGTGAGATGCAAATTTAATAAGCTCTTGGGTCAAGGACCAAGTACCCACACATTAGACTATCTCTGTGGTTTTATTGTGATAGGTAACAAGAATTGTGAGAGGAGAGGTAAAAGGAATGCACACAATATTGGAGCCTCTTCTGGTTGGTTCAATTCCAGGGAAGGCTGTGTATGTAGAGGTATAACAGAAGGAGGAATTCTCCTTCTTACAGTGTTGTTGCACCATACACACATTCAACTTATGAGAATTTAGTTGTATGCTACTTGGCAAAGGGAGAACATGGGTTTTATTTACTTTGTCACTCCCCAATTGAAACTGGTCTCCACTGACCAAAGAAAGGAAGCGAGGCCATACCCAAAATACACAGAGGAACAAATAGAAATTAGATATTATTTTTTGACCTAGAAATAGAAATTGTTTATTGTTATAAGACCTAGGTGGCTACCTAGGTCTTCAAAATCCTAATGGACTATTAAGGGTAATTTTGACTAGTTTTAATTTTTCCTTTATATGCTAACTCTGGAATCTAAATTCCCCTGATTCCACATAACGTGCAACTCCACTGCTTTTCTTCACTCCACCATGCTATTCTGATGCATTACTCGTTGAGAATCATGGACCCTGTCTATACACTGTTCCCACCATCTCCCACTCCTCACTGCTGGGAATATAATGAATCCCCTTAGACATGTTGGGCATTCCATGAGAACCACAGGTTAGATGGTCTCTAGGCATTTTTCCAGCCCGAAAATTCTAAATTTAGTGATATTGCTGTCAAAACTCCTCACCCATAAAGTCTCATTATCTCTGGATTGAGACCTTAGATAGTAGTGACAAGTTGGTGACTAAAAAGACCTAAAGAAAAGAGAGTTGGCTGACAAAGTCCATAGTCAGCTTAGTGTATTGGAAGATGAGTCTAAAGCCCAGCCCCAGCTCCAGACCTTGAGAAAATCACTCCCCTTTCCTGAGTTTCACCTTTTCCACTTTAAGGTATGGGGGTTTGCAATTGCTTTTTTAATTTCTCAGGAATTCTAGTATCAGTAATCTGGGGAGATAATGGAGGACAAGCCCTTTGCAATGCTGAGAATGCTTGACTGCTTTTACCTCAAGTCAGCACTAATCTGATGTCAGTAATTGGTCTCTGCAGCTGTGTAAAGCTTAGCATGCCCTCTAGACACTGCATGAAAAGGTGAAAGCTTCTTAGAAAGTCTGTTCCACAGAATTTCCCCCAAATCTTAGAATTACTGTGACAGGAATTCATCCTCAGAAATGTTATGCACCCTTTGTACTGACTCTCACTCTTCCCTCTACCCAAAAACTTTGAAAGGGGAGGGGGTCAGTAGTAACATCATGCCCATAATCTACCAGTTTTACACTTCCTTGCTCATTAGTTGGAAAACTCCTGCTCTGTCTTCATGGGATGACTTCCTTTCCTGCTCCTCCCCCATCTTCCAGCCATAATTGTGAGGTCAGATTCTATGTAGACAAAGAATGATAGATAAGAACAAGGTTCTCTTTCCAGGCAGAGGTAAATCGACAGTTGCCAAAGATCCCCTCCCAAAAAAAAGG